AAAAACTCGTTAGTCACCCAGCCGATCGATCTATAGAGTTCGTAAGCAAAAAGCTTGTTGGCCAAATAAAAGTTGAATGACTTATTATTATTATTATTATTATTATTATTATTATTATTATTATTATTATTATTTAATAAAAGATAATAAAACTACAACAGTAGCTTAAATTTCGAGACATGTTATGATCGCCTATGCGGTGCCTGCGGTACCCTGCCTCGAACCTTGAGGCAAGCCTTCCACCCACGTTGTTAGAAAGTTCGTCATAAAAGCCTAAATAGAACTTTGGGTAGGATACCACGATAATATCTAAATATAATGTCATCATTAACGAACATTTTGTATTTGATTTTCCAAAATAGTAGACTATTCAATTCATCAATAACCCAAATAGTATTTCCAAATGAAAAAGAAAAAAAAAAGTACAAAGAAAATCCTCTTTTTTTTTCCAAATCCAATTATTAAATTTCTCATGCTTCCCACAAAAAACACCCCCTATGCAATAAAAAGGCAAATAAACATTGAAGAATTTGTCCTTTCAAAACATTATAGTATTGGATTATCCGACAACAATTATTATTGAGGCTTAGTTTTATTATTTTATTTAATGCACTCATGGGAGAGACAGCAATGAATCGTTTTTGAGTCCTACAAATATATGGAGATCTTTTTTAATAGATTATTTAATGCAACTCTTTACACATCAATTTTTATTTGCTGGACAGACAGACACTCAAAGTGCCACACTCCTTACTTTTCGAGTATAAAGCACTTTGGTATTGCAACTAACCTAAAAGGAATGTTTTGACAACAAATATATATATATACACAAAATATAAATAAATCTACTCGACTACGAGAGTCCAATCGGTTTTACTACTTGCATGCTTTGTAGGTTGAGCTAGTGGTGGCAAAAAAGCTCGCCGACTCGGACGACTCGGGTTCGGCCCGAAAAAAGCCCGAGCCGAGCTGAGCCCCACCCGTGTTTACACTGGCCAACCCGTAATTAATTAAAAATAATTATAAAAAAATTAAAAAAAAATTAAAGATGCCTGCCAGCTAAAATAGCTGAAAAATAAAAAAAAAGTAAAAAATTGAGCACGCTCTGCTCGAGCCAAAGCTCGGACCGAGCCTTATTTTTTTGATCGAGCCCGAGCTTTTTTTTTTGGGCTCGGGCTCGGCTCGTTGACATAGCTAGGTTGAGCTGGTCTTTGTCAAGTTCATTGTGTTGGTTGTCGTTTTAGGACTATTGTGCTCGATGATGCCTCGTGACTTAACCTTCAACATTTTCTCGCTTTTTCAAGTCCATATGATCATCTTATGTTATTATCCGATATATATTGTCATTCTTCACACATCTCATGCATTCTCAAATGGGTATCTCGTAAGAAATCATTGTGAGACATTTGACCTCTGGTGATGATTTCGTTTGCGATATTGATCTCAAGAGTCCCTTATTTTGCTACTCGATCGTTTAGGGTGAACATATATAGTTGAAATATATTTATAAATAAATAAATGTATCTCATTTTTCACAATGTTAATTTTTAAATAAAGTGACACAACATAATATCGTAACAGACCCGTATTAAGTTCAAGTATTAACATTATTCATTTATAAAAATTTCACTTGTCGAACGTCTAACAAAAGGTAAATTTAATTTATAACAGAGACGTACTATTAGAGATATAAATATAACAAATGAAAGTTATCATTACTCATAAATAAGGTTGACAAAATCTTAATCTAGATTAGTTGTCTCAACTTTGGCATAAAAGGCCATGGTTAAAGACTGTAGTTTTGAGTCTTTTTACAATGCAAAAGGCATATATAATGTAAATATATATATTTTTGCTGCTCCATGCTTTTATTTTTCTATGTTGTGTCTACTATTCAGAAGACATTAAGCACAAAACCTTGTATTGAAAAGTAGAAACCTTGAACATATGCCAACCATTTTCTTGTGTGGCTGTCCAAATAGAGAAAAAAATAATAAAATAAAACCAAAGAATGGAATAGGATAGTATAGTATAGTATTTAATTTAGCACCATAAAAAGCATATTGTCAAATATCAAGCAACTACTAGGGGACCATATTATTTCAATAATAAATCAAATACAAAGACGACATGTTTAATACGTTGAATTGGACAGAGTTTGAGTAAATTTTATTAGACAATTGACGAAAACTTTCAAAAATTATTTGGATTTGGCATATTTTAGACATACTCGATATTGAAGTTTTATCTTAAAATGTCAATATTATTAAAAGAAACAATCCAAATTCTATATGTTGATTATTTATTTCATGTTTAAACAATGAGAATTTTTCTTAATGTATGTCCTGCAAGATAGTGACCCAATCGATAATACTAATCTTAAAGTCTGATTGCTTGTTCTCATATAACATTTTAAAACTTGTGGTTTCATCTGAAAATGCCAATATTTTTAAAATGAGTAGTCGAAACCCTTATATATTGGTTATTTATTCATCTTTATTTGATGTGGAATTTTAGGCATAATTTATTTTCATTAAATATAAACATCGCCTATGTATGATATGTACAATTATTCCGAATTGAACTTTATTGGGAGAGATATGGGACACAAATTACTAAATGTTACGTCTAGTACTCTAGTTTATCGTATCTGACATACATTTCAAGAAGATTAAAACTTCAAAATAAATAATTTAATGGAGAAAAGAACTTTCATTTGCTACATTTTTTTTTTTTTTTTAGATTTAAAGTTAAAATACTCTGTTTTTTATATAGTAATTGAGATTAATAAAATTCAATAAAATTAGAACAAAAGGTTTGTTGACCCGAAAAACGTAATGCATATGTGGACAACAGATGTCTGGTCCACTCGTGCCAACTCAAACAAATTCCAACGCTTTTTTTTACTGGAGTGTCGGTGAGAGAAGTATAACATGTGAACGCGAAAAATGTTTTACGGCACGAAACAAAAATATTTGAGCACTGACGATAATGACTAGGATAATTGCACTAACAAAAAATCATCGACCAAACGTAAATAACTAGAAAATCAAAATGATAAATATAGAACAAGCAAGAAAGTTTTTTGATAGTATTTTTCTTAAGTGTTTTCTTATATATTAGAATCAGTATGCCAATGATCTGGGTCGATCCAAAAGCTCCCCTACAATTTACAAAGATCACATATTTATAGTGTTCTAGCCAACATGATGTCTGTTGAATCAGAATCACATGATCTCATCTCCTTGACTAAAACCTCACATCATTAAGTCCACATACAATAAATATATTGACAACAAGTCAGCCGTCATCGACATTATGCTGACACACCTGATATTTTTTATTACAAACATTATATCAATCATTCCTAAATATTATCTACAAATCTTGTAAGAGACAGCTTCAATTTTAGAGACTTCGGAAGAACTAAGGGCTTTGGTCGGAGGAATCTTCGTATTGGTGGTTTTCTGTATGAAGAGCTTTGGTTTCTCCTTTGATTTCTTACGTAACGCTTCGACTAAACAGCTTCAACCATTTAAGCAGTGTTTCGATACATGAGTTTTAGCCTTTAATTAACTTCTTTGTATTTAACCGATTGGATTTTTGTTGACTTTTCTTTTCACGTGAATTGCG